ACAATAGATTTCTATTTCTGTTACTCACCACCTCTTAAATCATAGTTTTGTATAATAACCTTATGATTGTTTTCAGGATAAATATATCCAGTGTTGTGATGTTCTAAAAGAGTCAATCCTCAGTTGAACCAAACAAGCTGTTGTGTACACAATCCACTTAGAGATAGCAAACCTGGTAATTTTGTGAGTGTCCAGTGTCTAGAACTCAGGGAATACTCTGACCACTCTGGTGATGGTATATCCTTATTATTAGACTGCATGGAGAGAGCAAGTTCTGCAGAGGCCTTGACACCTGGGCTTTTATTGCCAGATGCTGTTGGTTTCAAGGAGTTGAGCTACACCTGTTACAGACAAGATCACTTCACAGTGGAAGGTGGGTAGAGCCCCCCTTTGGAGAGGCTAGCCCCTGACTCTGTCCCTTCTACTCATGTACCCCATGCTCCTGAAACTAGAGCCACAAGCCTCCCCTGTAGCCCTGAGGAGCCCTAGGTCAGCTAAAGCCCCATGTCCCCACACCTCTGCTGCCTAAAGGAGCCCTAGTCTCCTCATCACTTGCCAGGAGAAGCCCTGGATCAGCCCCAGCCATGCCTCCCCTCCCTTCCCTAGACTCCATGCCACCCAAGGGAAAAACACCTCTTCAAAGATGTTTACCCCATGTAGCTTCCAGGGTGGCTGAGGTAATGGGATTTGCTATCCCAGAAAACCTCTGCATCCAGGGAACACATCTGTTGTTCTGCTTTTTTTTTTTTTTTTTTTTTTGGGAAGGGAGTAAGCCCTCTCTTCCTCCCATGATGAAGAAGGTCTCTTCTGAAAAAGAAAGTTTTTCCAAAATTTGGCCCAGTGTAGACGGGCCAAAGTTTAGAAAAGCCTCTTCCAAAAAAACTATCTGAAAAAAGTACACAAGCTGTGGAGTGCAATTTGCGTACCTTTTTCCAATAGATCAATATAGTGTAGACATACCTGAAAACTGCCATCAAGTCCTCTCTCAGGCTATCTAAAAGGAGAAGGGAGAAAAAATTCTCCTTGGCCTCTGATTATAGGACAAGAAGCAAAGGGCTTAAACTGCAGCAAGGGGGTTTAGGTTGGACATCAGGAAAAACTTCCTAACTGTCAGGATGATTAAACACTGGAATAAATTGCCTAGGGAAGTTGTGGAACCTCCATCACTGGAGATATTTAAAAGCAGGTTAGACAGACACCTGTCAGGGATGAGCTAGACAGTGCTTGGTCCTGACATGAGGTCAGGGGACTGGACTTTATGACCTCTTGAGGTCCCTCTAAGTTCCAGTGTTCTATGATTCTGTGGTTCTGGGTGCCATGTTTTAGAACAGATATGGACCAATTGGTGAGTCCAGAGGTAAAAAACAACAAAAAAAATAAAAGTTGAGAAAACGTGACTTACAAGGAAAGTCTAAGAAAACTGGGCATAGTTAGTGTTGAGGAAAGAAAATGGGACAGTGTGGACATGATCACAGTCTTCAAATATGCTAAAGGCTTTTATAAAGCTTTAACATAGCTAGTTAGTGCAAGCCACCATTGTCAAGCAAGGGGATTTTTATTTTAATTATACAGTCTCTTGCTTCTTTAAGTGTTGGTAAGGGGGAATGGAAGTTATTCACACTTCCACAGGCAGCATGTAGAAGGGTGACTTCGTAGGGAGTACAGTTCTTGATGACTGGACATTGCACAGCAGGCTCTCTACGTTGGGTGTCCCTGCCCAACAGCCACTTTGTCCCACTATGGTAGGCTTTGTATGGTGACTCAGACCTCCAGCCAGGTCACCTTAAAGTCCCCTTCAGTGTCCCAAAACAGTGGCTTTCAAAACCTTAATTATCAACCCAGCATTCCTCCTAGCCAGGGCTCTCTACAGTCCCACTCTTCTCACAAAGCTCTAGACTCCCAGGTTTCCTCCCTGTCTCTTCCAACAGAAAACAGCAAACAAACAAAAGCCATCTCCATCCATTCTGAATTGAGCTTTTAGTCCTACTGAGGCCCTTGTTCCAGATAAAGAACACCAACCACAAGGCTACTTCGCTGGCACCCTTTTTACAGGGCCTACTACTGGGGCTAGCTCCTTTCTCACTCTGAATAAAGGGAAACTCCAACCTGCTCCACTCCTGGTCTTCTCCCTCCAGGTCCTCCCCTGTAGCTTCCACTTCCTTGATTCACCCCTGTGGTGTTTACCCCCCACCACAAGGCATCTGATGGAGTACCTAGCTATTGGTCGAGTCATGAAAGCCTGTGGTGACTGGGTTCAACCCTACTTCAACTGGCATTTTAATCAGATAACTTCAGAATGTGCAAATATTTTATAAAATAGGAGACCCCTCCCCCCCAGGAGACTAGAGACCTAAACAGCTCCAGGAAAGGTTCATTGTGTTAAATAATTAAATCTCAGTAGTTCCGCAGTCTGCAGTTTGAAGAGTGACTTCAGAGCAAAGGAAGCAGTTACTGTTAATGTCTGTCCTTGTGAGAGACAAGATAAGTAGCTACACAGAGAACTGTGCAAACAAATCTGCAGCAAAACAAAGATGAGACGAATGATTCTCCAAGTTAAACCCTGAGCTCTTTGCCAAGTTATTTCAGCAGAGGTTCCCTAGCCATTTAAATTTAGCTGTGATGATTTTCTATAGCATTTGACAGTGTTTAAAGAAAGAAATTAAACCAACCCATCCTTGCAAAGGCACCATCTCAGGTTTTACCCTGTGTCTTTCATGGTCAATATTTACACTCTGAGTGTAAACATGTAACTATTATTTATTGTCACATAATTTATCATAAATATGCTAATGGCCATATGAGGTCACTGTAAATATTTGAAAATTGAAGCTTAAGGACACTTAGCATTTCCACAGCTGTGTAAATCATGGATCATTCAGTAAATATGTAATGTAAACAAGTGGGAAAATGAAATGTGTGCTTGTCTGTGCTACACTACAGAGAATACTAACTTGTTGCATTATATAAATATATGACCTAAACTAACCTTAAAATTCTGATTAAGAAATATTCATAAATTCATTCATAATCTATACCACATGTATAACAATATTTAACTCTTGCAACATGCTTTTCATCTCCAAAGCTTCATACTCTCCTTGGGCCAAATTTTGGCTAGCCCCTGTTTACAGATGGGAAAGATAGGGTAGAACCCAAGATTCCCGTCTATCTTTTCGCTCAGTTCAGGGATTGGCAATAGTCCTCATGGGGAACCTAGACCCAGGTCACTTCAGTACTAAGTAATTCAAAGAGGGCACAGAAGCAGAGGCAGCTTGTTGCAATGCCCACTGAGGTCAATGGGAGTCTTCCTATTGAGTTCAGCGGATGATGGACCAGAATAAGGGTGAGGGTTGGACCATGGCTCCACACAGGCCAAAAGAGCTAGTTGGTCTTTGAAGGCAAGAGCAGTGAGTGGTGCCCCCTTTGGGGAAGGCTAGCCCTGGCTCTGCCCCTTCTGCCAACTTTCCCGCACAGACAGAGGAACCCCAAACCCCACACTTGGTCAGAGGATCCCCGAGTTTCTCATGCTAAAGTTGAAGATGTAAGTGCTACTTAGCTTCCTGGGTATATGAGTAAACTCCCAGGACTCCAAAATTTAATCCCAAAAAAATGAGATGAGGCAGAAGTATCCTAAAACACAAACTCTTGCCTTATTGTGGTGCTATTTGCTGTTAAATTAATATTCTGCAGTGGAATATTCTTCTTCTGCTACTCATAATTATGAAGAAAAGAAACAATAACTTGCCAAGCAATTTCGCAACCTTCGTGAATTTTCTTTGAATTGCAAAGGAATATTTTTTTAAATATGTTCATATGTTCAATCACAGAGCACAAAATAAAGGAGTCTTATAATGCTTTCCAACAATTTAAAGCCTTTTATTTTATTAACAGGAAGATAAACCGCTTTTGTTTAATTGCAACATCCTACACGATTTCTGTTTGGGAATGACCAATTGATTGGCAGTCATCCACCAGTCTGCTGAGTACATTTATGGCATAACTATGTAAGTGCTACAGGAAGGAAGGAGTAAAACAAAAAGTGATTTCTAGTACGTTACGTGGACAGTACTACAGCCTAGGAGTTCTCAGATATTTAGTTAAATATTAGCACTGTCGCCTTAATACCAGTGTTGTATGGAACTGGGTGAGAGATGGCCACTCCCTGCACTGGACTTTTGCTAAGTGACTTCAGCATTTTGTAGTAGAGGACAGAATAGAGAAGATGAGAAAAGCCCACCGGAGCTTATTTCAAGGGATTTCTATGACATTTTGCTGGTATCGTACAATTTATTGTGATGGTCTTGCTTAGAATGGTGGATGTCATGATCCTGGAGACTTAACATTCTACCTGGCCTGCAGGAAGGGAGTTCACACAAAGACATGACTCTGGCACCAAAGAGCTTTTACAATATAAAACAATGTGCAATATACAAGGGGGAGGAGAAAGGATGCAATCAAAATATATACACTGCTACACAGAAAACTCCCAGGATGAGTGTGTTTGGCTTCAAATTATAGTAAATAAATCCACACTAATTATACGCAAACAGCTCCACAAATCAAGATGTTCCCAGGATCTTAGGTCACAATGAAACTCACTGTGCCATGTTGCTAATTCTTCAGACAATAGTTAAACAGGTAGGGGGACAAAAGTAGGTAGGAATTTGAAGGCAAATTAAATTAAAGAATGGGGATATGCTTCTGAGTTTACAAATAGATAGCAGGAGATGTTATATTTTGGACAACCTAAATGCTGGAGAGTTGAAATCATTGAACTCACCATGAAACTGAATGGATACGGAGTTTAATCTTGCTCATAAGGGAAGGATACAGAACTGGTAATGATATCTACTTGTTGACTACACTCAGTTCCCTTTCAAGTTACCTCATCTCCCTAGCTATATCTGTCTGTTTCATTCACCTTTCCTGCCCGATCTGACATCTACCCTTATAAACACTGGAGCTGATATTGTCTTTTTTTTTTTTACCTTCCATTACAGCATCTTGCATGCAAGAAACCTGATCTTGACTGGGATTTCAAGGTACTACAGCAATAATGAATTAGTGTCAGTTTTGCAGTAAACCTGCTTCCAATCAAGCACATTTTTATATAGTGTTCCAGCTTGTCAGGTAGCAAATGCAATAACCAGAGAACAGCTTATACATGAATAAGAGACAGTAACCTTTCAATGAAAACTAAAGTTGTACTTTTGCTGTCAAGTTTACAGCTGTATCAGTCAACTGACCTGATTGGAAACTGTTTCAGATGTATTTTTAATCAAAGGATTAATATAAAGTGTGACATTTTAAAAGACTTGCCATAAGGCAAGCTGCATGTCTATCTCTCAGCCTTGACAACTACACTTAAGCTCTGGAAAAAATGTGTTAAAATTTTAAAATATCATAGCATGCACTTGACTATATAAATAGAGAAATCTCGAGTAGGAGTAAAGAGGCAATATTGTTTCTGTATTTGCCTCTGGGTATGACCACTTCTGGAAAACTGCATCCTACTCTGGTGTCCACTATTCCAGAAGAATTGCAGCAGTTTCAAACAAGGAGGTGGTGCATTACTCATCATTGACAATTTTTAAATCACAATGAGATGTTTGTCTAAAAAATCTGGTCTAAGAATTATTTCATGAGATTTCTATGACTTGTGTTATGCAGAAAGTCAGAAGATCATAATGGTGCTTGCTGGTCCAGAATCTATATATGTATGGATACAATAGTAACAAGCATGGGGAAAATTTTCAGAGACCCACAGTGGCACCCAACTCCCAAGGGAACTCAACAGAATTTAGACGCCAACAGATATTTGTGCCTCTGAAGCTCCTCCCCAAAACATGAAGGTGTACCAACTATGTGCAATTTAACAATGCAGGTCACATTCTCAAAGCAGGTGTCACATCAAAATTGTCCCACAGCCATCCTGGACATACATAAGTTTGGGTAACAGACACCTTCTTGGCCAATAGAGTCCTCCGAAACTAAAAGCAGGGCTCTCCTCCCAGGGCTCCAACATTCATACCTCCTGTGGATCAGGCAGGGTGTTATAGATGCACAAAAATATGCATATGAATTCAGCCATTAGAAGGCAGCAACCCAGTTTGATTGATGCAGGTTTTGCACTCACAAACTTACCAATGCAAAATCACAGTTGTATATTATGTGGTTGCTTTTAAAAATGTGGTGCTTAGCTGCTGACAATAATCATATCACTGTAGTCTAAAAACCATTAAAGAAAGAGGGAGAAAGGATCATCATGTCCTGTAGAAACCAAGTCACCACTTTTCAAGGCAGGATATAAAATAAGTGACATGCCACAAGTACCACACATAGGAGACCACCATTAACACTACAAAAAGATAAACCATGAAGGAATCCAACAGCCTGCTTAAAGTTTCAAAAAATGGTTAAATTCTAGCAATATAATGATTCATAAAAACACTTTGTCCCAGCCTCAGTCATAGTACACCAGCGTGCCCACACATCTGCTGCTGTTTCATCTCTTCTGGTTTCAGTCAGTTGAACTAGGTCCACCTGGAAACTTCAGTGGTTACTTTCTCAAAACTTCTGCAAATATGTAGTATCTGTAAGAGGATAAATCACATGCTATGCAATTAATCCCCAATCTGCATTCTGTTACAAGACATGCTCCTAGGAAGTATAAACAATAGGGAGTATAAACAATTGGTCCTTTTTACTTGATGTATCATGTCTTTAGCAGTGATGTGCGATACAATTATCTTATTTCACCTTTTATTTTCCAGCACAGAAATGAATTCCAGCACAGCAGAAAATGTTACGGTATTTTTCAGTGAGACAACTACCTGGAAGCTTGGAACCAATCAATCTTTTTTACACAACACATCAGAAAACAGCAGTTCTGCCTGCACTTCTTCAGATGCATGGGAGTGGCTCTATATATATCAGCCTATGTTCCTTTGGCTCATTTTTGTCCTGGGAGTGATAGAGAATGGCTTTGTTCTCAGTGTTTTGTGTTTCCACAAGAGTCGCTGCACAGTGGCTGAAATTTACCTGGCAAACCTTGCATTTGCTGACTTGATGTTAGTTTGCGGTTTACCTTTCTGGGCCATTAATATCGCTAATAAGTTTCAGTGGCCTTTTGGCATGTTCCTTTGTAAGGCTGTCAATGCAATCATTTACATGAACTTCTATTCTAGTATTTATTTTCTGATGATGGTGAGCATCGATCGCTACCTGGCCCTGGTGAAAACCATGTCTCTTGGCCGTATGCGACGAGGTACATGTGCCAAATGGAACAGCCTTGTGATCTGGGTGTCTGCTTTGCTCGTATGCTCTCCTGTTCTAGTGTTCCGGTCTCTCCATTATGTGGCAGAAATCAGTGGCACAGCCTGCATTCTTCATTATCCATCCAAACACTGGATAATTGCAACACATGCTTTGCTGAATACTGTGGGCTTTTTGATCCCCCTCAGCGTAATCACCTATTGTACGATTCAAATAATCAGAGCCTTACAAAACAACAAAATGCAAAGACTCACAGAAGTCCAGACAGAGAAAAGAGCCACCACTTTGGTCCTTTCTGTCCTTTTGCTGTTTATCATTTGCTGGCTGCCTTTCCAGATCACCACATTTGTTGACATACTATTTCAAGTAGACATCATTTCTGGCTGCACTGCTAAAGAAATCAGTGATTTGGTGTCTCAGCTAGCTGTATACTGTGCTTATAGCAACAGCTGTCTTAACCCAGTATTGTATGTCATTGTTGGCAAGCATTTCAGAAAGAAATCCAGGGAACTCTACAAAGGCTGTCTGCCTAGAATGTGCAACAAATCAGACTCCACCCAGATGGAGAATTCTATGGATACTCTGAGAACATCATTTTCAGTGGAATACCCAAAGAAAAAGTTGGCTTCCTCATTAGCACTATAGCAGTTTTGCTAATTGTAAAGTTACAGGAAAACCTTTCAACATGTCAGTACATAAGCTGTCCTTTATATCCATCTACTATGGCACCCCATTGTATACACTGGCTGCATTCATTATGCATGAAAGCTTGGGGAACTGATCACAATACAAAACTCTATCTAGGCACCTGCTTCTACTGGCTAATGGACATTTTCTTCAGGACTGAATCATGTTTCATGATGTATTTATATATTCATGGCTGACGTATATTTGACACACTATCAGTTTAAATATTTATATTGCTAATGGAGATAAGTGTCTGATGTCAGATTATAGTTCTCTAAATAAAGCCATGTTGTAACAGCTATTCTTGGTATTATGAAACTTACTGCAGTATCCACATATTTGAAAGAATATATTTTTTAATGTAAGGAACATTTTCAAATGAAACTATAGTGAATGCAAGGTTACTCGTAGGATCATCACTTGAACTGATGTTTAGCTTCCATAGTATTTCCCTCACCCCCCATCCTCCGCCCCTTTGGTCAATAATGCTCCAGATGCTCTAATCAATAAATTGCTGTTTATGTGATGGCCCTTTTGGGAAGTGCTTTGACTTTGGTAGGATGGAATGTAATGAAACCATATAGCCCCTAGAGTGTAACAATTTCTAGTCTTTTATATCTGTGTAAACACCCCTCCCCCTCCACACACACTATATTCAACAAGGGTTGCACAGGTGTGACTTAACATGCAATGTGGGTGAATGAATGTAGTTGACAATATAGAACATTAGCTGTTCCGGGGAAAGACCTGTATTTTATACCTATCGAAAGTACAATTCACAACTAAGGTGTTGTATAATTAATACAACAGAATAAAGATTAGACATACATGGAATATGCTCATAACAAAGAAAGCAGAGACATGTAATTGAGAAAACCATTCCATAACTGCCTTTGAAAACTAACTGATGCTAATGGAAGATCTGACTGATCGAGGAAAGTATGAGCACACTCTTTATCCTGTACAGTTAACTTTGCAGTCTGAGGGTACGTCTACACTACCACCCTAGTTCGAACTAGGGTGGTTAATGTAGGCATTTGAACTTGCAAATGAAGCCCGGGATTTGAATTTCCCGGGCTTCATTTTCATGTTGCCGGGCGCCGCCATTTTTAAATGTCCGCTAGTTTGGACTCCGTGCCCGCGGCTACACGCAGCATGAACGAGATAGACAATTTCCTAGTGTACTGAATAGCCAGTGGCTCAGCAAACTAGCATTTTGCCTCTGGAAACTCTGGTTCAAAACCTGATTTGGGGATTTAATCAAAAGCCCACTGAATTCAATGGGGGTGTTTCCATTGACTTCAGTAGGCTGTGGAGAAGATCTCTAAGGTTTCAAGTTAAAAATGAAATAGACTTGGTCAGAAAATGACCACAATACCGACAATCAAATCTAACAACCAACACATCTGGAACTCTTTGCTTATGGAAGACTAGAGAAGAAAAGCCGTCATTGGGGGAACTCCTATTAAATTTTAAAATCAATAGAGTTCTATATGCAAATAGCTTCAGTGGGGTAGCCAAGTTAGTCTCTAACAGGAAAAACTTTAAAAAAACCAACAAATAGTCTGGTACCACTTTAAAGACTAACAAAACATGTAGATGGTATCTTGAGCTTTCATGGATACAACCTACTTCTTGGGTTATACCCAGGAAAGCTCAAGATACCATCTATGCTTTATTAGTCTTTAAAGTGCTACCAGACTATTTGTTGTTTCTTAAGTTTTTTATATGCAAACAGTTCCCTATGCAATTCACTGAAAATAGAGTATTTAAAAAAGAATATACTCCTTTCCATGTGTAGGTTGGTTCAACAAACCTAATACTAGAGCAGTGATGTACTTTTCTATTCCATTCCACTTAGGGCCCAAAACACCTATGGAAAGTATGTCATTTTCTCTGAAATTCTGAAAACTTTTCACTAGCATTTTATTTACATCCCTCGCTCTCACAAGCAATCCATTCACTCACAAAATTTAAAACAGAATGGCATTTTAAAACTATAGAAGCACAAGCGAATTCCCAGTATTCAGTACTGAAAAGCAAAATACTAAATCAATGGTCCCCAACGTGGTGCCCGTGGGTGCCATGGTGCCCGCCAGGACGTTTGTGTGAGCCCGCTGGGGCATTTACGTGCGCCCGCATAGTGACCAAGGCCGGCCCGAGCCATTCTTGCGCCCCAGGTCCCAGGCAACCCCAAAAGGTTGGGGACCACTGTACTAAATGATTGAGAATCATCTGGACAAATAATGCTATTTTAAAGCAGAGAAATAGAGAATTAGATGGGACCATGAGAGGAGATCACATACTCTAGTCCCCTGCACTGCAGCAGGGCCAAGTATACATAAACCATTCCTATTGGGTGTTTCTCTAACCTGTTCTTAAAAACTTCCAATAATGGAAAATCCACAGCCTCCCTTGGAAGCCTGTTCCAGAGCTTAACTATCATAGTATGTCTACACTGCCACCCTAGTTTGAACTGGGGTGACTAATGTAGGCATTCGGACTTGCAAATGAAGCCCGGGATTTAAATATCCCAGGCGCCATCATTTTTAAATGCCCTGTAGTTAGAACTACCTGCCCGTAGTTCGAACTAGGGTGGCAGTGTAGACATACATACCCATAGATATTAAGAAATTCTTTCTTACTAACTAACATAATCTCTCTTGCCATAGATTAAGCAGATTGTTTATCTCCTACATTCAGAGGACACGGAAAACAATTGTACACAGTCCTCTTTATAACAGCCTTCATCACATTTGAAGACTGTTGTCATGTCTCCCCACCTCCCGCGCCCAGTCTTCTTTTCTCAAGACTAAACATGCCCGATTCATTTGCTCTTTCCTTATAAATCAGCTTATCTCATTATTAATTTTTCTTATTGATCATCTCTGGACTTCATTCCAATTTGTCTACATTTTTATTAAGTATGAAGCACAATTATGGTCACAAAATGCTGAGACCTAAGCAAGAAAAGTTGGAAAATTAACTTGTGTCTTTCTTACAACATTCTTGTTAATGCACCACTGCATATGAGTCTTTTTGCAATTGCATCTCTGTGTTAGCTCATATTAAATTTGTTAATCCCCAGAGATTTGGAGCAATCAAAATTTTGAATTGCTCTGCTCCAGCTCCGCTCCGGCACCAATAGTGACTGCTCCAGCACTGCTCCGACTCCGCTCCATCCTCCAACTCAACTTAATTTTTAACTATAAAATTTTAATATACATAATTAATATAATTTTTTTATTTATAAATTGGACGTTAGTTTTTCTTATTAAATTTTGTGGTAAAATATTCAAAATATTTTCCAAGTTTTTAATTAATATCTCAAAAACGCTTTAATATAGATCTATCAATGAAATTTGGTATGTGCCACAACATTCATTGTTGGGAAGTAACGAGGCTACACATTACAAGGTTGAAAATAAACACATACTTATCTAACTAATCTATGCGAGTACGTGCTCGCCTAACCTTGGCACAAGGGTGGGAGCAGTATGCAGTGTTGCCGGATGTCTGATAATTATCTGATTCTTTAATAAAACATATATCCAAAAAACTTTGTAATTTTGTATCTGTACATTAAATCATGATTTTGGCCGAAGTGAGAATAACTGTGACATATTACGTAAAGTGATAAAGTAGATGTTAATATCAATTGTTATCCAATCTGAAACTTTTTGGCACCTTTAGGACTTTCTTTCTAAAATATCATTCATTTTGGATTGAAAATGAAAAAAAAAACTGGACAGTGGAGCAGTCAAGGTTTTCTGTGCTCCAGCTCTGGGCAAAAACCTGCAGTTCCACTGCTCCGTGCTCCAGCTCCAGGCTCCACTCCAAAGATTTGTTATCCCCCACAGATCCTTTACAGTATTACTACTGTCTAGCCCAAGCCTGGGCAAAATACGGCTCAAAGGCCGAATTTGATACTGCAGGCTCCCTATTTGCCTCGCCCCACCCACACACTGCTCAGAAATGTGGCTGCAGGGCAATTTCACTTTAAAAACTGAGCCCCGAGGAGAGGGGGGAAAGCTTTAGGAACTGCTCCTGCCCTCAGCACAATCCCATTGATTGGCTTCTGGCCAGAAACTGGGAGCCTGTTTCAATAACAAGCAGCCATGAAGCACAAGGGGTGTGTAGTTATTCACAGAGCACATAGCTGCAGCCTGTGTGAGGATGAGGCAGGCAGGAAAGTTGATTCAGAAATGGACTACTGTCTGGTAAGTCTCCTGGCCAGAGCCTACCTCTGGCACCATAGCTCCTTCCTTCCCCAACTCCCTGCCCCCTACTCCTGCCTCCCTACTCTATATTCCAAAATCCTCTGCCCCCCTTCTGCACCCATACCCTCTCCCAAATCCAGCACCCCAATACCTTGCCCCAAATCACAGTCACCTCCTGCCCTAGCTCACATTCAAACCTCTGAACCTCATGCTGTACCCCAATTCTCTGCCCTAGGTCACAATCCAACTCCCTGAACCCCAGTCCAATGATCCAGATCACAGCTTCTTCACCCAAACTTCCTCCCTTACCCCAAGCTCCTTTCTGCATCTAACCAGCATCCCAGATCCTGCACCTCCTCCATTAACATCATGGAAGAGCGCAGCCCTTGACCATTTACCAAATTCTCAGAGTGGTCCCACATCAAAAATTATTGCCCACCTCTGGTCTAGCCTCTTGTTTCTCATTTCATAGTTGTGCATTTTACATTCATCATTGAAATACTTTGCACTTACCTTCACAGAATTTCATCTTGTTGATTTCAGACCTATTGTCTAATTTGTCAGGGTCATTTTGAATTCCAGTCGTCACCCAGAGTTCTTGCTAGCCCTTCTCAGCTTGGTGTCATCCACAGATTATATAAGCATACACAGCACTCCATTATCCAAGTCATTAATTTAAAAAAAATTATACTGGAATCAAGACAGACTCTGGCAGGACCACTCCAAATACATCCTCCCATTACATAGCAAACCATTGATGAATACACTTTCAATATGATTTTCAACCAATGATTACTTTATAGTAATTTGATTTAGACCACATTTCCCTAGTTGGCTTATAAAAATATCAACATGGGCCTGTGTCAAAAGCCTTATTAAAATCAAGATGTGTCACATCTACAGCTTCCCATGTATCCACTAGGCCTAAACCTTATCAAATAGGGAAATTAGGTTGATTTGGCATAGTTTGTTCTTGCCAAATCCATGTTGTCTATTATAATCCTGTTTTCCTGTAGATAGCTACAAACTTGTTTAATAATTTGTTCCAGTATCTTTCCAGGTATCAAAATTAGGCTTACTCTAATTTTCCAGGTTCTTTTAGTACATACATTTTAAAAATGAAACAATGTTTGTCTTTCTCCAGCTTTCTGCAACCTCACCTTGTCCTCCAGGAGTTATCAAAGATAATGCCTAACAATTCTCAGATTGCTTCATCTGGTTAAGTGTCCTAAGATGAAGTCACCATGCCCTACTGACCTGAATACATCTAATTCATCTCACTGTTCTTTAACTTGGTCTTTCTTTATTCTGGCTTGTGTTTCTTTGCCCTTGCTAATATTAATTGTGTTAAATATTAGGTCATATTAACTCATTTAGTGAGGACTGAAGCAAATTAGGCATTAAACACCTGAACGTTCTTGATATCATGCATCACATATTTGTGTTCATGCCTGTATAGATATAATTCTGTAGTTGTGTTATTTTGTTACACTGTACACTTGCTACATACATTTTTTAACATAGTGCAAATGTGTGGTGGGGGAGGGATCTATAGCATGTGTTAATTTAAAATAAAGTCTTTGAAAGCTACAAGCGCAGGAAGTAGAGATGCTGCGGGTGGTGCAGAACCATCAGGCTTTGTGCCCACTCTGGCTCTGCACTAGTGTCCCAGCTGCATGCCCACACCCACCTAGGGTCCCAGCCACTGACCCTGCTGTTGCCACTCTGGGTCCTGGCTGCTGGGCTTCACTTCTGGCTC